TCGTCGCTCGCGCTGGCTTTCTTCCCCCTCTCCCGCCTCCTGCCCCGCTTCGCTCCTTCCCCCCTCTCTTGCCCCCGCTTGTGGTTCGGCTGGACCTTGGCGCCGCAAGTGCGACTTCTCCCTCCGTACCGCCTGGTCTCCGCGCCTCTGCGTCCCCACCTGCTGGGATGCCTGAGCCGGTCACCTCTAATGAGGGTCACTGTCCCTGGCACGTGCACTCGCCTATGCGGCCTACGCGCCACTGCGGCCAATTATCTACGGTCACCTCCAATGAGGGTCATTTTGTCCCTGGCATGTGCACTCGCCTCGGCGGCCTACGCGCCTCTGCGGCCAATTATCTCGATCTGTGCCCCAGGCGTGAAGCCCGCTCCCTGGACATCTCCTTGGAGCCGCGTACCAATAAAGTAACCCCTCCAGCCCATCCAGAAACGATGCCCAGACGAAGTATCCTGATCAGGGGTGTTTTAGAATGCAGTAGTATGAAAGGGTTGGGTAAGACGTCGTACCCCAAGGGGGGGATGATGGTGAAGGAATCAGAGGAGGAGCAAGAGGAGGAGGAGGTGGATGAGGAGGAGGAGGAAGATGAGCAGCAGGAAAAGGAGGAGGAAAGAGGAGAGGGGGGGAGGAGGGACGAGGAAGAGAAGGAGCAGACGGATGAGGAAAAGGAGGAGAAAAAGGAGGAGGAGGAAGAATATGAGGAAGAGGGCGAGCAGAAAGGCCAGAGGACTCTTGGATGCCCCCCGGACTCTCGTCGGATTTCGTTGAGACGTTTCTTGGAGTCCCACTGGGGCGTCTGAGCGGGTCTATTGGCAGTCTCGGAGGCCTCTTGGGCCGTCTTCTGTGCCTCCTCGGGATCTCTTGGGAGCCTCTTGGAGGCATCTCGGTGTCCCCTTGGGGGCCTCTTGGGGGTTCCTGGGCACTTCTTGGGGCCGTCTTGGGCTGCCCTCGGGAGCCTCGGGGGCCATCCTGGGGCCATGTTGGGAAAGATCGATCAAATGAGGGGAGCTCCTTACTTCGGGTCCCATCCCCAGGAGGCCAAAATGTGGCCCATACCTAAGCAACATTAGTGATGCTGGCTCCCTTGCCGATGCCTCTTGGTGCGTTTGGGGTTCCTCTGGGGGGCCTCTTGGGGGTCTCTTGGGAGCCTCTTGGGGCCCCCCTGGGGGGCCCTGGGGGGCCCTGGGGGGCCTATTGGAGCCTCCGTGGGGCCTCCTGGACACCTCGTGGTGCCCTTTCAGGGCGCCCTTTGGGGGCCATCTTGGAGGAGATCGATGAAAAAAGGGGGGCTCCTTAGTCAAGGTCCCCGCCCCAGGAGGCCAACATGTGACCAAAACACAGACAGAAAGATAGAGAGAGACAGAGAGAGAGAGAGAGAGATGAAGAGGAAGAGAGAGAGAGAGAGAGAAAGAGAGAGAAGAGTAGCCAGAGTAGAAACTTGAACAGGAGCAGTTCTGGCAGCTTTAACGCCAGGCAGGCGTAGAGCGGGTCAGCTCCGCACCTTCAGCGCACCTTCGCGCAGGCTCGCGCTTACCAGAGACGGGGGACGGGGGGTCAGCGGGAGGGGACAGGGTGATGATGGTGTTGACGATGATGGCGATGATGATGATGGTAGCTGTGATGGTGGCATGGTGATGTCAGTGTTGTCAGTGATGATGGTGATCGTGGTAATGATAATGGTGCCGATGATCATGCTGATGCTGATGCGGATGATGATGATGATGATGACGACGATGATGATGAGGAGGAGGCTGATGATGAGGCTGATGACTAGGCTTCTGATGATGATGACGACGACGTCGACGATGACGATGACGATCATGGCGATGATGATGCTGATGAGGAGGATGATGATGATGATAATGATGGTGATGATGATGATGGGGATGAGGATGATGATGCTGCTGCTCATGATGATGATGATGATGATGATGATGATGATGATGATGATGATGATGATGGGGACGACGATGATGATGACGACGATGATGATGCTGATGATGATGCATATGATGATGCTGACGATGATGATACTGATGATGATGATGATGATGCTGGTGGTGGTGGTAGTTGTGGTTTTCATGATGGTGGGGATGATGATGGTACTGATGGTGGTAGTGGTGATGCTGCTAGTGACTATGATGATGATGCTGATGATGATGATGGTGATGATGATGACGACGACGATGCAGCTGCTGCTGCTGCTGATGATAATGACGACGATGATGATGAAGGTGAAGGTGATGATGATGGTGATGGTGATGATGATGGTGGTGGTGTTGATGATGATAATGATGATGATGATGATGACGATGACGATGACGATGATGATTTTGCTGATGATGACGATGATGATGATAATTATCATAATTATTATTGTTGTTATCAGCATTATTACTATTGTATTGTATAGATTATTATTATTATGATTTGTATGTGTCTACTCGTCTTATTATTCTTGTTACTCTTCTTCTTATTCTCATTATTAATTTATTACCACTGTTATCCTCAGTATTACTATTGCGGTGGTGACTGTGGTGGTGGTCGTGGTGATGATGCTAAGGAGGAGGAGGAAGAGGAGGAGGAGGAGGAGGAGGAGGAAGACGAGGGGCTTGTGAAGGAGGAAGAAGGTGGCGAAAACAAGGAGACAAAAAACGACGACGGGCCACCACGCTGGCGACGACGTCGGCGTGCAAAACGCGCCGCTCGAAGCTTGCCGTCGTTCCAACTCCCCTGGTTCTCGCCCTCGCCGGCGGGTGGCAGCGACGGGGCGACGAGCTCCACCGCAGGCCCCTCGCGCCTTGTTGCCCCGCCGCCTGCCAACGTCGTCATCGCCACCGCCGCCGTCGCAGGTGGGCTCGTCTTGGCTAGGATGTCGTCCTCGGCGTCGTCGCTGTCCGCGCCGTCGTCGCCGCCGCTGTCGTCGTCGTCGTCGTTATCCGCCCCTGTTTCTGCCCCAATGGCTCGGCTTCTGGCTCCTGGCTGGGTGAGCTCTCGCCCGTGCTCTGCCGCATTGTCTCTGGCAGGCTGGGGCTCCCACGGTGTGGACAATCCAAGCATTCATTGCGTTTGGATTCTCACACAAGATGCATTCGCCGCTCAGCTGATATCGTTTCCCATTGGCGAGTGAAGTACAGTCATCCCGCATAGTGAGGATGGGCAACCTTCCCAAGGGTAACCTCGAGAAGTATTCAAAGCCCTTCCTCCTCCCCTATCAGATTACCCCGGTGCGACCCTACCTAGAAGTTGGAGCCCCTAGGAAAGCAGCATTAGTTGCTATGCTATGCCATGCTATGCTGCGCTATGCTATGCTATGCTATGCTGCGCTATGCTATGCTATGCTACGCTATGCTAGGCTGCGCTATGCTATGATATGCTGGGCTATGCTATGATATGCTGTGCTGCGCTATGCTACGCTATGCTATGTTGTGCTCTGCTATGCTAAAGCTCAGCGAAGCTACGATAAATGTAAGCTAAGCTAAGGTAAACCTGAGCTAAGATGAAGCTAAGCTAAGCTAAGATGAACTAAGCTAAGCTAAGATGAGATAAGCAACGCTAAGCTAAGGGGACGTCACTGGGGGAACCGCGGGGCGGATGCCGGGGGAACCGCCCAGGCCGGTTCCCTTTTGCCCGGCCCCTTAAGCCAACAGAGTAAGAACCTTTCTAGGCAGAGCCTAGGTAGGGAAAAAAGGATAACGTTTCCCCCACGTTATTCCGGCACCTGGAGGACGATGTGGTTCCCGCCTTAGGGCCGCGCGCATCCATTTCAAAAATTTGCAAGGGTTTCTCGGATTGAGGGCGGCTCGTTTTCAAAACGTGGCTGTCGCCTTATCGCCACGCATATTCGTTTCAAAAACGTGCAAGCGCTTCACGGATTGAGGGCTGGTCGTTTTCAGAATGTGGCTCTTGCCCTAGCGCCGCGCACATTCGTTTCAATTCATGTGCAAGAGCTTCACGGATTGAGGGAGGCCCGTTTTCAACATGTAGTTCTGGCTTTAGCGCCGCGCATATTCGTGTCAAGCAATTTGCAAGAGCTCCACGGATTGAGGGCGGCTCGTTTTCAACATGCAGTTTTCGGTTTAGCGCCGCGCACATTCCTTTTGAATGTGTTGCAAGAGCTTTCCGGATTGGGGGCGGCTTGTTGTTTCAAAATGCGGCTCTAGCCTCGGCGCCGCGCGTATACGTTCCAAACAAAGTTACAAGAGTTTCGCGGATTGAGGGCGTCTGGTTTTCAAAATGTAGTTCTCGCCCCGACGCCGCGCACATTCGTTTCAAAAACGTCGCACGAGCTTCACGGATTGAGGGCGGCTCGTTCTCAAAACGTGATTTTCGCCTTATCGCCCGCGCATTTGTCTCGAAAGCCCGGAAGAGCTTCACTGATGGAGGGCTGGTCGTTTTCAAAACGTGGCTGTCGCCTTAGCGCCGCGTGCATTCGTTTCAAACAATTTGCAAATATTTCACGCATTGAGAGCTGGTCGTTCTCAGAGCGTGACCCTCGCCTTAGCGCCGCGCACATTCGTTGCCAACAGTTTGCAAGAGCTTCGCGGATTGAGGGCGGCTCGGTTTCAAAACGCGGTTGTCGCCTTAGCGCCGTTCACATTCGCTTCAACTAGTTTGCAATAGCTTCACGGATTGAGGGCGGTTCGTTTTCAAAATGTAGTTTACATTTTAGCGCCGCGCACATTCTTTTTTAAGGTGTTATAAGATCTTCACGGATTGAGGGCGGCTCGTTTTCAAACTGTAGTTCCCGTCTTAGCGGCCCTGCAGGCAGCCCACAGCCCTCAAAACAGCTACCCTACCAGACAACCCACCCTGCCAGACAGCGCAAGCATAGTGAACCCACACAGTACGGATGAGCGGCTTCCCCAGGTTACCCTTATATCCGCAGCGCGTCCGCAGCGAGTTGCGGCTCGAACGGCCAGCGACAGCGTAGAACTTCAGGTTTCTCAGCCACGCGGGTCAGCTCAGCCGCGTCAGTCGTTGTCTTTCTTGCAGACGCAGCCATGGCGATCCAGCAGCGCCAGGTCGACGCCGTCAGCGTTTTCGGGCTGATGATTACCAGCCTGCTGGCGAGGATCCGCCTGCAGTTCAAGCAGATGTCAGAAACGGTGGATCAGAACTGGTACATGCTCGAGTCAGTCAACCAGAAGTGCAACTTCATCGAGCGTCGCCTCATGGGCCTGGAAGTCGGCCTCTGCGAGTGGCGAGGTGAGCTCCTGGCCCGTCTGACGGCGTCGGAAACCGTCTTGGGGGCCCCTGGGCCGACTTGGGGCCTTTTTGGGGTGCTCCAGGGCCGTCTTGGAGGCTTCCGTGGGCATTTTGGAGGCCTCTTGGGCCGTCTCGCGGCCCTCTTGGGGGCGTTTTGGGTGCCTTTTGGGCAGTCCTGAGGTCATCATGGAGGCCTCTCGGGCGCTCTGGGCCGTCTTGGGCCGTTGGGGGGCCGAAGTGAAGCAGATGCGAAAATCGTTCAACGACCCGAGGCATTCCGACGCTTCTGGCCTCTTCGGGCACTCCTGGAGAACCTTTTGGAAACTTCCTGGGCCGTCTTCGTGGCCTCTCAGGGGCGTCTTGGGCCGTCGCGGGCCGCCCTGGAGGTCTCCGGGGCGCGCGCGGAGGCATCTTGGTTTCCTTGCCGTCCTGGGGGCCATGCTGGATTATCTCGGGCGAAAGTGCGGGCAATCTTGGAGGACATCTGGAAGCCGTCTGGGGCAACCTCCGGAAGGGCCTTTCGGGTGGCCAGCGGGCCGGGCCGAAGCCCCAGGGGGGTTCTTCTGGAATAACCCTTCACGCCGAATGGACCCAGCAAGCCAGGCGCCCCTCTGGCAAGCCAGCGGGGGGCGGTGGGTCCCAGCGGCCTTCGGCCCATCCCGCCACCGTGCATGCGCGTTGGGGTGTCACGGGGGGCCCATCGGGCGCCTGTGGGGGGCGGCCTGGGCGCCTCCTGGGGGGCCCTTGGCTTCGCAGGTTTATTTTGGGTTTCTACTGGGGCCTCTCGGGCGCGTCTTGGGCGCCTCTCAGGGCCTGTCGGCGGCCTCTTGGGCCCCCCGGGGGACCCCTCGGCGCGCGAATGCAGAATTATCGGTTCGTGCCCCCCTGCTCGGGGCCGCGTTGGGGCCCCATTGGGCCGTGGTGAGCGCTTCTCGGGCAATCCGGGTGGCCCTCTAGGGCCGCTGCGGGGCCCTCCTGGAGACTTCTTGGGCAGCCCCGGGGTGGCCTTGGGAGCGGGGGCCCTTTGGGCCGTCTGGGGGCGGCGGAAAGCCAGCAATGCGAGCGGGCGAAAATCCATAGAACATGTGCGACATCGAGGATTTGTGCCTCTCGGGGCTCTCGCGGGGAGCTTCCTGGAGCGCTCTCGGGGCCCTTTTGGGCCGACTTGGAACCATTTTCTGGCGCGTTGGAACACCATTGGCCTCGGCTGTGCGAATATGGCGTAGTTCGCCAGGGTTCATGGTCTCGGGGGCGTGGATTTGGCATAATTTCCCGGTGGCCGCGCGCCTCGGGGGCGCGAGTCTCGCGCATTCTCGCGTGTCCCACGCCCGCGACCCCCCCCTCTCCCGGGAATTCAGAGCGCGCGGTCCGGTCGCGGAGGCAGGGCGGCGCGCCCCCCCCCCCCCCCGTCGCGCGGACTTCAGTAGAGCCGACCGCGCCGAACGTCTGGCTTGCATCCCTCGCCCTCTCAGCGTGCGCCTGTCTCCGTGTCGCGCCCCGCTCAGCTCGGTCGCACCCACGGTCTCGCCCTTCAGTGGCTGCTTTGACCGTCACCCCGCGCCTGCTGAGCTCTATCATCACGTGTCGCGCGACGTTTGAAGTCTGTGGCGAAGGTGATCGTCTTGTCCGCCAGGTCGAGCCCATGCCCTTGGAGCCCCTCCTTGAGGCTGCCGGCGGTGGCGACGAACTGCTCCGCTACCCTCTTCTTGCCGCCCATCACCTTGATGCTGATATCGTCGAACCATAAGCCCTCGGTATCGGTGCTGGGCTTGTGGCTGCGTCGACCGCGTGTCCCAGGACCGCGCGCGCCACCGCATTGGCTGCGCTGTTGGCGTTCCTCGGGCCCGCTAGGATCGACCTGTCCGCTGGCATCGGGCCTGGGCGCGCGCACTTGCATCTGAGGACGCGCGCGCTCAAGCGTTGAAGGGGAGTAGGAGGAGGAGGAGGAGGAGGAGGAGGAGGAGGAAGGAGGAGGAGGAGGCGAGTCTGTCGAAGCCTCGTAAAAATCCGCGCGACCCTCACCAGAGGGTGGTATGAGAGGGCGGAAGCACCATATATACCTCTGGTAGTCCAAATAGAGCACCTCGACCGGCCACGGCCGCGCGCCCTGGCAGCGCGCTGCGGCTGAAGGTCGCCTGGCCGCGGCGCGCGGCAGCCAGCCGCCGGCCGCCGCCCGAGCCGCCGCTCGCCCCTCCAGCGTCTCCAGTGGCCGCCGTGGGCCGACGCGGGCTGCTGGGGTCGCCGCCAGCTCCACGTCGGCCCAAAGCGGTTGTCGGCGCCGCCCTGCGCTAGCCCCGCCGCACCAGCGCGTCAGTCAGCTCGGCGGCCTCGCTAGCCGGTGTCGAGCCGCGCTGCTGCCGCCGCCGCGGCGGCTCCGCCCGCTAGCCGGCGGCGCGCTGCCTAGCGCAAGCCGGCCGCCTTCCGGAGCTGGCGCGCTGTTGCCGCCTGCAGGCCGCAGGACAAGACCTTCTAGGCCCGCGCCAGCTCGCGCTGCTGCTCGTATTCGGGCAAGCTCCGCACCTGCCCTAGCAGCCAGAGGCGGCCCTCGGCGCCGAGCCGCCCCCCCGCCTCGAGGACGAAGGGCGTCAGCGGGTCGCCAGGGTAGCGCGCGTGCTTCTCTCGCTCGCCGCGCCTGCTGGCCTCGCGAGCGGCCAGCCGCAGCTCGGCCTGCGTGCCGGCTGCAGGGTGGCGGGCGGAGACGTCGAGCCAGTGGGTGCCGTCGTCGTCCTGGTACTGCAGGCCCAGGATCGCGCGCCCGAGTCTGCCGTCGGGGCGCTGGCGGTCCCAAGTCGGCACTCTCTGCTCAACGAGGGGCCGCTCGCCGCGCCAGCGGTGGAGGAAACCCCGACCCTCCGGTTGAGGCCCCCGTGTCGCGCCACCGCGCCCCCGCCCGCCTGGCAGGTCAGGGCGTGGTAGCCGCCGTAGGCTAGTGCCCCGTGGCAGCCAGCGCCGTCGGCAGCGCGCAGGCAGCAGGCGGCCGGCGCGGTCGCTAGCTCCCGCTGGCTGAGCTCGGCGCGCGGAAGCTGCAGCCGCCGCCGCGCCCCTGCCTGCCAGAACGCGTTTTCGAGGCAGCAGGGGTCGTCCTCCGGGCAGGCAGGAAAGGCCGCGCTGCCGCTTCCTGCCGCGCCCCGCAGCTCGGCCTGTCGGGGAGGGGGCAAGCGTCGCAGCAGAGCTGCGCGCTGGGTCCTTTGCACCTTCTCCGTGGCCAAGCCTTGCCTCAGGGGCGTCTGCAGCGCAGTCGCCAAGTCCCCCCCCGGCGCGAGCTCGAGCCTCTGGCCCTGCAGTCCGCGCCGCGCCGTTTCCAGCTGCTGGGCCGCCCGCGGCAGCCGCTCCAGGCAGTCAGCCAGCGTCGCGTTGCCCTGGTCCTCTGCGACCTCCTGCGCCGCGGCTGACCAGGAGGCGAAGAAGGCCGCGCGGCGCCGCGTGCCCGCCAGCTGCGCGCCGAGGCCGGGAGGCCCAGGAGCTCCACGGCCGCTTCGTCGAGGTCCCGTTCCAGGAGGTCCCTCCAGCAGCCCGTCAGCAGATCGTCGCACTGCTGCGTCGCGGAGTCCTGGGCGAGCTCCATCCGCAAGGAGTGCTGGCTCGCCAGGCCCGCGTAAGCGCGCAGGAGGGCTGCCGCTGCCTGCTTCTTGAGTCCAGCCTTTTGCAGCTTCTTCAGCTCCCCCCAGAGCGTCTCTAGCTTCCGCCCAGCCTCGGACAAGCTGTTCGCCGGCACCCCTAGGGCGGCGGGCGCGCTGCTCTCGGCGTCTCCCGGAGGCTGCGCCCGCGGCCGAGGCCGATCTTCTCTCGCGCGCACAGACGTACGAGCAGCGTCGGGCCATCGTTGCGGCTCGCGCTGGAGTGGTGGCTTGAGATTCTGCACTTAGATTTAGGTCAAGCGCGCGAATGGAAACAGCGGCGCCAAGATCGGGCAATCATTTTGGCATGCGCGCGAGGGTGGCCACCGCGCGCCGCGGCGGTCGTCCTAGCTGATGGGGAATTGCACTGGACCGCGTACGCGGTCCCAGATAAGCTGGTCGATTTCCTCAACGCGCGAGGGGGCAATCAGATCGGTGGTCTGGAGCTGGTAGCGATTGCGTTGGCCCTCTCGACCTTTCCAGGCCCGCGGCATTTCGCTTTGCTCGCCGCGGCGCGCGCGCGCGGCGTCACAGACCTTTTGGTGAACAGATCTGTCGCGATATACTCCGACAATACAGGGGGCAGAATCGCCCCTGCGAAAGGGCACCGCGCGGTCGTTTGATCACTGCATGCTGGTGCACGCCATGTGGAAGCGTTTGGCTGAGCTTCGCTGCGCGGCGTGGGTCGGCCGGGTTCCCACCGAGGAGAACTTGGCCGACCTCCCATCGAGGTCACCCAGCGCGCGCGCCGCGCCAGCGCGTTCCCCAGGGAGGAATATGATCTTCTCAAGCGTATAGGAGGCCGCGAGAGACCTCCGACGCTAGACGAGGCTTTCATGGCGCCGTCAGCATGGCGAGTGCTGTCCCTCCGAAAATTGGTACGCTTAGTTCCAGCGCAGTCCGCACGCCCGGCGGCGCTGTCACCCGCGTTCGTGCGCGCTGCCACAGCGCCGCCCGTTCAGATGGCGCTTCACGAAGAGATGGCGTCTGCTACGCCGCACGGGTGCCGTGTTCGCGCTGATTGGGCGGTTTCGTTGCTCGTGCATAGTGGCATTACCTCTTTGACCATGCTGGAGAAAATACGCGGTTTCGATCGTGCGGACCCCGATCAGGTCAGGGCCATGCAAACATTGATGCGTGCGGCAGCCAGCGCAAGCCTGGGTGCAACGGATTCCAAGCGCACGGCTGGGAATCCGCCAGGGGTCGGCGCTCTGGCGGGCATCGCCGTTTCGGCGCGCAGGCAAGCGTCAGGGCAGCCGCAACGGTGCGCAAGTGAGGTTCGCAGTCGTTCTCCGCCCCAGATGGCGGCATCAGTTGTGCAGGCACCAGCCGTGGCGCTCACCCGCCTCAGCGCACGCGCGGCGTGCCCGATTCAGCCCTTCGCTTGCCCGCGCCAATCTGTTCGCGCTTTCGTAGCGCCGCGCTCGGCGAGGGGCCGCGCAGAGTGGCTGCGCGAGGCCAGCGCATGCGCGATTCTCGGCAGCTGCCCGCGAAGCACTGCCAGCATCCGATCCGGCGTCCGGTGCTGGGTTGAGTTCGCGAGCATAAATCTGGGTGACGCA